TTGCCGCTTGGAGTGAACCAAAACGGAAAAGCTAAACAATGAGCTGAACGTCACAGCTTTGTAGGGGTGAAGGAAGATGCAGATTCAGATGATAATTCTCTGTAGGTCTGCCACATTGATAGACAGAGTTGCAACAAGAATTTGATTGGATAGTAACAAAAATATGGAAGACAATGTGTGCAGTCGGCCTTCACCATGTCACCATCTCTAGTGATGCGGGGTTCAAACAAATTGTAGCTGAACTGAAACGAAAAAGAACAATGGACCTCAGATAAAAGAGAGGCACACCTTGGCACTTGAAGAAATTGTTTTGTGGTCAATGTCTTGTCATGAAGTGTGTCACACGTTACATTTTTTTGTGTAATCTCAATTAAGAATTACGAAAAAAAAGTGTAGTAGATCGAATGAAACATGCACGGTTCAATGATCCGAGCTGTAAGTGGTAGCGGCCACGCAGTAATTGCAGCCCTCTCTGCATCACATATGAATAAAATATGATGTGTGGTGTTATTCTGAAAAGGACTGGGGCCCGTCATTGGTGTGCCATGTAAGAAATAACAGTCTATTACTGCTCCTCTAGGGTGGGTGTAGAATCTAAGGGAATGTGAATTTGTTATTTTTTTATGGTGGATAAAACATGCTGTAGGTAGGAGTTTTGATAATTTTGAATTACCCGCCATTCATTGGGTACTATTCAAAAGTAAGCTAAAGTGACCTTTAGCGACATTAGTGACATACAGCAGACTGGAACAGAGCCGCACAAGCTCATAATGCCCACAGGGATTTTTCATCACCTTCCACAAGAATGACACTGATTAAGCATATGATCAGTGTAAAGGAACAAGTACAGCGAGAGTATATCAAAACTGTTAAAACAAACACCCTTCATTAGTAATATCATTAAGGAAGCATAGAATTCACACAAAAAAAACCCCATCCACAAATCAAATTAAAGTAGTTGCCAATTTTTGTTCTACTACACTACTTTCAAGACAGCTTTTCAGCGCACATAACATAAAAACCTCGAGGACACAGTGATCTAAACTTCATTATCCAGAATCACAGCAGAGGACATCCATTGTCATTACATAGGCACATCTCTCTCTCTCTCTCTCTCTATCTCTCTCTTTGCTTCATCAAAGGAGAGTATCGAAGAGCGACCATACTGTTCTCATGTTTGGGCTTTGGTCTCTTTGTACTTCTGAACTGAGCATTCATTATGCATAAGCAACAAGAAAGCTGCTAATGAAGATTTTATAATTGATAAAAAGTACAACATCAGCATGTGCATGAAATTACCATGAGGCCACACTTAAAAGGGGAACAACTAACCCAACATGAAATGAAACAGAGGGGGGGGGCTGTTAATACTGTCTAACACTTTAAAGACTTTAAAGAAAATGTATATTCATTGTATCGGTCAAACTTTATATGGCCTTTATCCAAATCATAAATTCATGTACCTGCCAAGTGGATGAGGCAATAAACCCGTAGGGACACAAAACACCATCAAATGTTAACTCAGTGTTGGCTGCCTGACTTCATGTGTTAAAGTCAATTCTGTTTGTATTCCCAAAACCCAACTTGAATTTCTAACGACACCGAGTTGCAAGATGTGTTTTCGAATAGAGCTGCGGGCACAGAAACAAGGATTATTTGCTCGTTTGCAACAAGAAACCTAGATGTATGCACTCTCGCACAAACACGCATTCTGCAAGGCAGAAATGGGAGAGGCCTATTTAGGTAGATGTGTGCTTTTTACCAGATAGTCACACAGAGTTTGATAGCATTTGATTTGTTTTTAAGATTAACCGTGTTTCCCCCGTTATTTATTATGCGAGTACTTGTTGACCTGGGTGCTGGGCTGCTGCGTACAGTTGCTTGCAGGTAAATAGAGGTTGCATTGAATGGAACTGAACAGAATGAAGTAATCCAGAAGGAAAAAACGATTTTGGTTCTCTACAGTTCAGGAGTTATGGTGGCCCTACTCAGTCATTTTGAAGGAGACAGACACATCATGCAACTTTTCTAAAATCATGTTTTTTTTTCCTTCTGGTGACATTAAATACGTAACTAATAATGAGATTAAATAAGTTTACATTTGACTATGATGGCTGTTTCTTACAGTAGGACCCCGGTCGGTATCCCTGTATGTTAAATACATGGGTAGGGTTTGGGTTAATGAAAGCTAAAGAATGTGTAATAAATGAGAAACTCAGAATCAGTGGTAAATTGTTTGTCTTCTCCGGATTTTAATTTAAAAACAAAGCAAACTCACACTCTGGGCTCTAAGAAAGTGTTGTCAGCCTCAGCTCATGTATGAATAACAATGCGACATATTCAATATTATATCATCTGTGGGGGACCTTTAAAATAAGTTGTGCTGGTATTTGCTCAAACGTTCTGTGATTAAACTGATTAAAGTAAAATAGCAGCACACAAACACAGAGAGCATTCAGTCGAACACTGCTGCTTTATTCAAGGTGTATATGCTTCACTGTTGGGACTCCCCAGACATAGCCTTAACAATAAAGCTGTGTTGTTGTTATCGTTTTTTAATCTCATTGAAAGACATTCTGACTGCACCAGGATGGAAAATAATATTGAAGTTAGAAACTGAATTTGCTCATTTTAATTTAGATTGAAAGCAACATCAAATATCTCTCTGATACATCCGTTTACTAGGCAAAACTATTCAGAAGGCACAATAAACTCAGTCCGTGCTTCAAGCAAGTACAGTCTGAAAATCAGCTCTATGTTTCGTGACCCAGTGTCACATTGTATATATCTACCTGAGCGACCCCATACAAAACAGTTAGGCAAGGAACGCATAACAATCAGGAATAATTCTCGCCGCTCTCCTCAGCGCAGGCCTCTGACAGTGCCTGAGAGGAAAACAACCTGCTCAACGAGCCGTCTTCATACAGCAGACAAGGTAATGCCACGACGCTCTCCGCAAAGCAACTTGAGAGGACAGCACTTAGAGGTATGTTTCTCCCAAAAAAAAAAAAAAAAAAAAAAAGCCCCCGAAGAGAGGCAGGTTCGCCCGCTCCACTTCTCCCCTGACTGACGGCGCACTCCAGAGGAGCCGTGCCGGAGGACACACACACTGATCCGGTCTGACATGCCTGACCTTTCCTGGGCGGCACGGCGGGGCTCACTCTGCAGAGTGCCCTGCTCGGCCTGAAAAGGCCATGCAATGCCACGCAGGCGGCGCCACCGCCGCTCACCTCGGCCACCCCCCCCTTGCTGCTATCTGAAGAGCTGGCAAGGTGAATGCCCGGGCCCGCCGAAAGACAGCCACTCAATCTGAGAGGCTCTCAGCCGCAAAACAAGGGTATGCCATCTGAATTTGGCAGTGATGAATGATTGGTATACTTCCCACTGCACCCTCAGGGTGGAGTTTAGATTTTTGGAACAAGTGGACTATTTATTACAAAGTATGCATTTTACTGTACAAGTGGTTGCTGCTTTACTGTGACCTTATGCCAGTTAAGATGCTTCAATTAACGATTTGCTCACACACTAAATTGTTATGAAGATGAGATTTGCATAATACTTGTTAGTCATCTCACTTATAGGTGTGTTGTGTGCAGTGGCTCGGTAATGAAGGGGTCCAACGTAGTGTGTGTCTGCCAACAGTCTTGGTCGCGGCAGAATTATCTCAGAATAGATGCTGTGGGTGCCCGCTGAAGAACAAGGGATGGGAGGACTAGTAAGTGCAGAGTAGATGCTGCAGCTGTGAAATGAAGAGCTGTCGCATCCAGTGAGCACTTTCCTAAGTAAAGGAAACACTTGGCACAGCAGGAATAAATCATGCGCTCATGTACTTCAGTGTAAGATTGTATTTTTCAAAAACAGAGAATGGAATTCTTGTATGCTTTGTATGACACGTTTGGTCAGTGCGTACTTTTCTAAAAAAGTATATCTTTGAGGATGTATGACTGACTAACAAACCTTTAACAAGCTATTTGAATGAATAGCCTAAATCGTGATGGAATTTATAGAATCATTGACATTGACATCTGTATCTGCATCTCTATCGCATCAGTCAATTGCAAATGTGTCTTCTATTGCAACTACAACAGAACATATTGGAAAATATAATGCAAATCAAATCACCGGTTCTACTTTGTTTTTCCTCTCAGATAACTACTGTGCATCTACACCAAAACATTGTGGGATCATTTGAACTAAGTCTTGAAATAAGACGGCATCAAAGGTTAAGACTTTTTGTGATACAACAGTAGTGCACCTGTTCTGTAAGCCAACAAGAACACCACGAAGGGAATTATCAAACAAGACAATAAGACCAAGAATGCAGTGTGTTCTGGCGGTTGTGGTTGAGTTTGAGTATGATACACCCGACTGATATCCTCATTCACAGGGATGAAACAAAGTCAATCACTAACCCTTTAACTTAACCTTATGGTGCATGTTTCCATAAAACTCAGTCAGTTAAAGCACTGGCACAGCTGGGCAGGAACAGAATCACTGTGAGCAACTGAGGTGACGACAAAGGACAAACGCAAAAGATGTATACGTCTGAAGGTCAAGCAAAGAAAAAGACTCGTAAATGTTGTTCTAGCAGTTCGTACTATTGTCCCCAGTCTCACAGACTGGTGCGTACACACCCTCCTCCTGCAGAGTGAGCTGAATGCTGGGAGAGTTGGTTGTGATTATTTGCCCTTTGATAATAAGCGTAGGTATTGTTCCTGACTTCCTCACTAAAAATATCACTCCAGTGGGAACACCATCCCATCTTTCATTTCTCACTTCACTGTTCGAGACTGAAGGCTTTGCTAATTAACACCAGGACAAAATTAAACTTCTAAATTCATTATGGAGACTCCAGTGCATGTGTCTTGCGTGCCTGTTTGTACACATTGCTCTGGGACCCTGGTGGTTTGGGAGCCACAGAGCTTATTTCAGCAAATCTGCATTCACAAAATAAACACACACACACACACACACACACACATGGGAAATCAGACATATAC